CTGATTGTCAGATGAGGTTGGAGCGACCCTTAACATGGGTGAGGATTAGAAGTGAGGAGTAAAGACCCACCCAAAGGATGGGAGTGGCTCAGACCCAGGGTTCTTTGTGTGTACATTTAAACAGGGAGGGGACGTCAGCGCAGCGTAACCCCAGAGCACTGGAGGACACACAGGTAAACCGACAGGTTGTTCCTGGCAGCATGCAAAGCATTGTGGGATAGCCATCAGAGGCCTGCCAAGCTTGTGTGGATAAGCAGTGTGCGCGCACGAACGTCAGCCTGTACTAACTCAATATGCAATGAACTTACTGTGATGGGATCCCTGGGGTGCAACCTGGAACTGGGGTACCACTGAGCCCTCTGTTCCTCCGACCTGGGCTCCCTTTCCCACTGTGATGCTGTGACAAGCTACAAACCTCTCCAGGTCCTGCACTTACACAGCCATCCACAGGGACACACCCAGCTGAGTTACATAAATGCTTCTCCCAGCCACTCATGAACCAACAATGGAGAGTTTCCAGCCAGTTCCCCGCAGCTCCCCAGACTAGGACCCCAGAGCTTTACTATTCTGCCCTGCTCAGAAGCCTGACCAGTATAAATTTATTACCCAGTCCACCCCTCCCTCAATGTGGAGAGGACATTTAGCCTTTGTAATCTGATCTGAGAATTCCCAAGCACTTCAAGCAAAACACACTGTTTTAGGTAAAATATAAAGCAGGTTTATTAACTACAGGCAGACAGGTTTTAAGTGATTATAAATGGTTGACATAAAAGGACAGAGATGGACCAAAGAACATAAAAATAAGCACACAGTTAATCTTAAATATTATTACACGAGGCAGTATTTAGATCAATGTTCTCACCCCACTGGATGTTACAGTCCTTACTGCACAGGCTTCCCCCTGAGCCTGGACCAGTCTCCTCAGATGACCTTTGTCTTCTCAGGATCCTGGTTGTGTCCAGTGTAGGTGGGGAAGGAGAAAGGTGAAGACATGATGCTATTGTCCCTTGTTTTACACCCTTGGCCCATGGGCCTGGCAGACATTAGTGAGGCACGTCCAGGTGGGCTTTGCTGAGTCACAGTGAACAATCAGTCCCCATGTCACAAGGACTGAGCAATTCCCGTTGTGTGATGCTTGCATGGCTGAGTCACAAGGTTGATTAATGGGTGGTCAACACCCCGTTGGGCAGGGATCCTTCATGTGTCACTAGCAAACTTGCAGCATATTTCACTAACAACCATACAGCACAATCTCATAACTGTATACACACTAACGATATACATATTTGGACAGACAAGCAGGTTTCAGCAGATCATGACCTTTCATCTGATACCTTACATGGCATGCTTTGTATGACATCTGTGGGGGCTACAGGGTGTCATTCTGAGGTACGGTGTGTCACACTCACTTCACTTTCAAAGTGGATTGAAGAGTATTCACTGGCCCATTGGAACGCATTAAGAATTGTACGGTGTGTATGAAGGCCAAGTTGGATGTGTCTACGCTGCAGTTAGACACCGGCAGCGGGCCCATGCCTACTGACTTGGGCTCAGGCTATGGGGCGGTTTAGCTGCAGTGCAGCATGCAGTGTTGTTGTAGCCATACTGGTCCCAGGCAAGCTCGCTCACCAACAGAAGTTGGTCCAATAAAAGGTCTGATCTCCCCACCTTGTTTCTCTAATTGCTGTAGAGACAGCCAGGCTCAGCTTGGAGCCTGGGACCAGGGCCAGTGCAAGGAAGTTTCACGCCCCCCAGCCCTGCGGTAGCCTCCCCCCCCCCCCCCGTCCTCGA